TCCCCCGAAGCCCCCCCCCCCCCCACTCTCTGTGCGTCTTTAGCCTGATTCCTATCAAATAAATAAATTTATTTATTTTATCTTTATTTATTTATTTTATATAGGCCAAAATCTCAATAGGTGTTGCCTCAAAGAATTGGTGTAATGATTATTTATGTATTTAATAATAAAATGTTGCTTAATTTTTATTAAGCACCACCTTAATTTATCCAAAAGTGAACACTTGTTACAGTGCAGTTTCTGCTGTTCCTGGAGATATTTTAGCGGACTATAGTCACTAGTTTTACCAGCATGGATGCATTGAATACTTAATTTACCTTTCTAAAAAACTGTCGAATATCCATGCTGTCGACTCAACCTGACTTTCGGCAATGAACTGTCAGTTGTTGCGTTAGCATTTGATGTGGAGATGGTGACAGACACGTCAAATGCTAACGCAACACCTGTTGCGTTCAGGAATCCTGGGAGATTAATATTACAATAATGGCAGGTTATCGAAATATAATTTAAAATGGCCACATTACATTGAATTTGATGCAATATATTAGCAAAAGTACATGAAAAATAAATAATACTTTTTTTAAATAATGCAATGAAATTATTTAGGGGGGCTAAAGACATTTTTAGGGAGGCTGAAGCCTCCCTAAAATAGGCCTAATGACGCCCATGTATATATATAAGTAAATACACCACATGATGGAAGCCCGTTACTTACCAGATCATTTATTTAAGGTTTTGAAAATAAAATGCAAAGTTCAGTCAAACCATACTGTCATATTCAAGATGTAACAGATCTCTAATAAAAACAAAAACAAAAGAAAAATGCAGTCATTGAGAGGCAATAACTTCTCTCTCCTCCTCAGCTATAGTTAGCTATGACCTGTGTGTGGTGACTTCATGTGGTGACACAGAGTGTGACTGCACACAATAGTCACTTGGAGGGTTCCATTCCAAGAAGTGAGATCGTTACAACCAGATGCTTTCACAGTACTAAGAATGGCATGCCGCTAACCATATTTGCCATTGTTAATCTACTTGCACCATCCCTGAAAGATATTCTTGCAATAACCAATGCAACATTTTTTTTATCCTTCAAACACAATTCATGTACCTCACAATTCCAGTAAAGAGAGAAAATGATCAAATTCTTGTCATGATTCAGCATGAAAGAAAGAATGTTGGTGAAGTGCGTCAAATCAATCCTTTAGATAGTGTCACTCTCACCGACAGTTTTTTGCCTCAAAACATTTTCTCGCTGATATGGCAGAATATGTACATTATGTACTGTATGCACAAAGGATGAACTAATCCTCATTCAATCATCATTCTCATTCATTGATCTGATTTTGTACCCTCAGCATCATGACCCTAACCCAACAATCTACCGAGATGTTGAAGATTGGCCCAAAGTCACTCAATTCTTCGCATTTATCCACTCACCCACTTGAGCCTGACACTGGGTTGATTTGAAAGATGTGATGCAAAATTGTCTTCCCGGATGTTTAATCCTTTGGGAAAACGACTTTGCAAGCCGGTGCCAAGTGAGTTTGTCAAGGAGAAGCGTCGTCCGTCTGGGCTCGGTGATGCTCACAGCGGATGACTTGTTATTAAGGGTGAGTGGGGCGGGGGCCATGTGGGGGTGTCAGAAGAGGTAAAGGAGGAGTGACTGAGAAGGGAGGTGCCGAAGGAAGAGCTACCAATGACAAGTTCGTGGTATGGTTTGTAATTGTTGATGATAGTGGGCTCATCTCTTACTACTCACTTGTTGACAGGAAGCGACATTTGGTTTATGTCGAGATAAGTTCTATTATCAGAGAAAGTATTTGCAGTCAATTGCCGTTAAGCTAAGCAGTGATCATGTTTTTGTACAGCAAAATGTGGACGGGCTTGGCCAGGCTGTTATTTCCAGCTTGTGACCGTATTATGTTCATTAAAAAGAAAAAAAAAAGAAAAGAAAAGAAATGTTGATAACGACCTTGGCGTGTGCATGTCAGGTAACTTGGCGCAAGTGCACGTTGTTTGCTGCTATTTGTGTGGACCGTGGCACTCATAATGGAATGCAGCTGTACGTCTTGCACCTCATTCAACTTCAAGGTGGTCTGATGTTCAGGCAAATTCACAGTTGGAGCCCGAATCAGCCCCCTTGTAAAGGAAGATGAGATATTCCGCACAAAGCTCCAACGCCCTTGTCTTGGATTACAGTGTATTACATAATCAAGGTTGTGGCATTTATGTGGCAGAAGCTCTTCTCGTGACTTCAGGAAGGAAAGATCAAATGAAAGAATGAGGCTGCACTTGTGTTCCCAAGGTCAAATGCCAGTATGCCTGTTACATTCACCACATACTCATTCATTGTGTGTACTGTATACAGTGTGCGGAGCCCGTAGAATGTAAAGCGCCGATTATAGCAACGGTGACAGCCCATTCAGAGACTTTGTTTTTTCAGTTGCCGATCACATTTCTTCATGGGAGCCACCTATATTTAATTCCTGTGATATGTCCTCTCCTTGGAAACTTGTTTGCTTTTCTGACACATTAGCAGCATGGCCATAGCTGTGTGGTCTCTCATCCTGTTGCGTGCCAGCTGCCGAATCCCTTTTTCCATCAAGTGTGATTTACACAAAAACATTTTTGGTACAATTCACTCACTCATCCACCTCACGACAGAAGCCTCTTGTTTATCACCATGAGCAGGTCAGAACGTATCCATTGCTTTTGTTACTCATTTTGATCATGTTGAGTCAGACTAATGCTAACATAGCATAGCCTACTAAAATGTGTAACACAAGCATGCACGAGTGCTGGCAAACAGCTACAGGCGCCCATTGTCTGACAAATGGAGATATATTTGTGCAGTACACTGGCTACCGGTCATTCGTAGAATTAAAAAAAAAAAAACTAAATGTTGCTACTGGACTATAAATCACAGGATGTTTTAGGATCTGAATCCGTGAAACAAATACGGAATATAAACTCAGAAGGGCCCTGAGGTTTGCAGATTTGAGTCAATTAACAGTTCAAAGAAAATATGGTGAAGCAGCATGTAGCTGTTATGCTGGACGCAAATGGAATAAGATGCCAACAGAAGTGGAGTCACCCCAAGTTTAAATGTTGAAATCCAGATGAATAGCTACTTTTAAGCTACTTTTAATTCTCGACTGTGCTTTCAAATTTCTTTAATACGGTAGCCGACGGGGGCAAACTCACTGCAAACAGCCGAACAAGGTGAACAAATGAAAAAAAGAAACGCGTATTAGAAAAGTAGAAACACACCAGGCAATAAATCTCTCACTTTACGCTGTATAAAAATTATGATAGCAAAGTAAAGTAACCATTGTGTGCACGCATGATATTTAGATTTTCGATGGAGCAATAAATAAAGAGGTTCCATATGCCCCCATTTTCTATCATACTATAGCACGACTGATATAAAGACAGAATCAAATGTTTTTGACAGTGCAAGTTATGCAAATATGATCAAATGATTGGTGGTGCAAGAAGGCGGCACGTGGCTGGGAGAGTGAGTGTCCAGTTGGTAGGTAGAAAAGAAGTAAAAAGAAGTATTGTGAGGTATTTCTCCAAAATATCACTTTGAATAAAGATGAAAACTGTGGCTTGAGATAAAAGGTATTTCTCTCTCTCCATAGGAGAAACATAGAATCTGCAAACACACGGTCCCAATGATACCAACGTCCTGCCATCCTCGTCCTTCCACGTGCAGTATACCGCAAATTCATCGAAATAGCCTCTTGAGTGAGCTTGATCCCAAATAAACCAGCGGTATTAAGAATTAAAGCCCTTTGGCTGGCTCTCCTTATATTGATGAAATGTCATGCTCCATAGCTTTCATTCCAGTTACGGGGAACCACAGAGAGGAGCCGCAGAGGTGCTAACTCGACTGCCTGGACTCTTCTGTGGAGGGAATCAGTGCATCAGCTGAGGCCTTGTCAGTTACTCATAAACAAGGAGTAAAGATAGCCTTAGCTGGCCTTCGCCAGCTATAAATCTGTAATCCCAACCGTTAAATGATCAGAAATAACTGATCAAACTTTTTCTTATTTTATACTTGGCAGATCAGGGCTGAGACTACTTCAGTGATGACAAACATTATTAGTTTGTTGGACAATATGACACACGCACATGCGCGCACACACACACGCACACGCACACACTCTCAGGGCTACATTTTTCATTGACCCTTTCTATGCATATATGTGACAACGAACTCCAAAGTGACTGAGACGTGGTCCCAAACGACCGTGTTTGCTCATGCTAGCTCTAGTTTAAAGTCAACATGTTTTACTTTGGGTTGTGCCCTTTGCTGAAGAACATAATTGCATAATTGCAATGTGACAATTTACCCATGTGGCAACATGCCCTAGTCTCCCTTACACCGATAAAGTAATTTGAAAATATGTACTGTTTGAAAAAACAATTGTTAAATTGATTTGTTCAGCACACGTGGAAGTAAGTTACCTCAATCACGTATTATAAATTCTATTTATGTCTTATACAACACACTTAAAGTATATGACATGTCCAATTACAAAATATTTGACATGTTATTTATTACATATATCAAATCAAATCAACTTTAGTTGTCTCGGAACTTATCATGCAATGTGCAACCCAAATGCTTTAAAGTTAAAACCAGCTTGAAATGATAATAATAATAATAATAATAATAATAATCATAATAATAATAATAATCATAATAATAATAATAACAAGGCGTGTTACACACCCAGTTCATGGATGTTATAATTTTAATGTACATAAATATACAATACTGTCTGTAATAATAATAATAATCATAATAATAATAATAACAACAATAATCATAATAAATAGGCGTGTTACACACCCAGTTCATGGATGTTATAATTTTAATGTACATAAATATACAATACTGTCTGCCATTTTACGTTGCTTTGATTTAGATTAACTGCCAGCATGATTTTGACTGGCTGGCATATCAAATTACATCGTATTCATATCAAAGCAGATCTAAGCACGACCACTTGCTTGACCTTATTTCTTTCAAGAGCTGCACCAATCACAGCTCAAAGAGCAAAATGTTAAGATGTGGGTTCATGGCCCATGTTCACGTCTTTATTGAGTTGTAACCATCATCCACATCTTTTTTTAATGCATGCACTTCATAGGAGTTTTGTTATAGTTTGGCATTGATACACAACCAGTTGTAATGAATATTCATGGAACATTTTATTGGGGTTAACACAGATTTCCATGCTTGCTTTGAGTTCTTTTTTTTTTCTACAGATCGATCAGTACCAAATGGTTGGTTTCTATTACAACACAGGGTGCACATTTTCAAAAATTAATCGCGTCAAAAAGTCAAAAATCAAAAAAGTACGTTGCAGATGTCAATAACAAATCAAAAAAGTAACTAGCCGTGCCGATTGGATTTAAATATGGCCCGCTAGATCTATTACTTATCCACTGAGAACAATTCAATGGAGGCAAGAACCTTTGAGTGCTCACATTGTCCTGGTGGCCCATTTCATCCTGATTATTCGCAGCTCCAAAGACTGCAGGCCTGATTCATTCCCCTCTCTGACAAATAATCTGTGCGCATGAAACACTCAGGAACTTCTGTTGTTGCTTATATGTACAACAGGTAAATTTGAATCCCATTCTTATGATCGGACCAATCACGTCCAAGGCACTCAGGGCTGACATGAAGGCTGACTAGCATACAAGGCACATCCTCACGACAAAATACTTATAGTGGAAGGAGTATTCATGTAGGAGATTGGACTGTCTCAGAATTGTTTTTGTTATTTATTCCTTTGTTGTGTGTTCATACCCCCCCCACCCCATCCCCATAGAATTTATTTTGTGATTTCCTCACTTTATTTTCGATTCTATTATATTCATTATTTTCGATTTTCTTAGTGTCATTAAAGTTCGTTAATTTACGTTTTCGGAGGCGGTCTTTGAACGCCTCTCGAGTGAAACAGGAGAAGAGAAGGCACGTAGTCGGACAGAGACATGTCTGTATTTGTTTAGAGTGAAAAAAAGCATTAATAAAGTGTACGTTTAAAAAACAACAACAACAACAACACTACAGCTCTCCTTGTCTCGTAGTTGCAACATTCAAGACACAGCATTAGCATTTGTCCAGTGTCCATCAGCATATTGAAGTGGGAACTGTCCTCAATGTATTTTACATACGATATTTTACATACTATATTATGATAGCAGTCCACTGACAAACTGTGGCAGAGACCATTCCAATTTGCAGGGCTGATTATGTGTTTATGGTGTGCTGTGGGAAGTACAGAGCCCAGTGAACCCGTAACAGGTTCCCAGGTACTAAGGCTCAGTGATGCATGCGGGTTGTGAAGGATCATCGGTGTTGTCAATTCCCTACCAAAGGGCCCATGCAGCACCGCGTGCAGCTAATGTTTATGCTGGTTGAAACAGGAAAGCATCAGAACAGAGAACATAACATCCAGAGTTGTTTGGGAACTCAAGGTGGAGCGACACAATAATTGTTTTCAGAGGTTGACTGCTAAATTTCAAATCAAGCTCTTGCAG